GTTTGTTTGTTTGTTTGTTTGTTTGTTTGTTTGTTTGTTTGTTAATTCAGCAGAAATGGTTCAGCTATTTTACAGGATGAGGTTAGGGAAAAAATATGTTGCGTGGCCCATGATAAACAATTCTTACAGCCATTTTGTTGAAAAGCCCTACCATCTCCATGCTTTGGAGCAGGAACTTAACATTTGGCAGGGGACTCACTCTGGTGTCAGGGATGTGCCTTTTGCACCAATTCTCCAGGACATCATTCGGCTGCCTTAAAAACAAGAGCATCCTTTCCCTTCTTGCAGTTTCCTGTCTCATTCGCTAGATGCCTTCCAACTCCTACAGCAAGTGTGACAGGATCCTACAGACAACAACCTCCTTCACTACACAACTCTGGTGCACTGAATGAGGCAGGGGTCCTGTAGAAAAAATAGCATGTGATCATGTAATTAAAAACTGTATCATAAAGCGTAGGTACAAAAGGAGCCAAATTAGTGTTGCAAGGACAACGTTAATTCTGGCATTTCCTAACTTTTGATTGCTTGATTTTGTAAACCTAAGGTTCTTTTAATGTAGTTTTTTGTATGTAATTATTATCATGATGATAGCTATTTAAAATTAGCATGTAGCATTGTATGGGGTTTTTTGGGTCATTCTACTCTCTCAGATTTAGCTTTTAGCTGAGACCAAACACGACTATGAGCTATGTCAGCCCCAAAAGATTTTTTTGTAAAAATTATATAATGAAAATTGGAACTACACAAGGTACTAGAACCGTGGAGTCCTGTCTCACCTGTGATCTCAATTATTCCCTTCTGATGCCAGGCAGTGTTGAGGAGAAAGGTGCAGAGAGGACAAGAGGCATATGGAGTGGGGGGAGGAGTACATTAGGATAAGGAGCCTAGTGGAAGCAGGGAGACAGCAACGGGAGGCTGATGCGGGGGATAGAGAGAGAGAAATTGGGACTGAGAGCTAGGGCAGAGGGACAGAGGGGCTGGGCAAGAAGATTGGGATAGGAATGGAGGAGACAAAGACTGGGAGCTGAGGGACACTGGACTGGTTGCATAAGGAGACTGGGACTGAGAGCCCAGGAAGGAGATGCTTGGAGTGTCTGGGTAAGGAGACTGGGACAGAGAGCTGGGGAGAGATGAGGGCTGAGAGCAGGGTGAGGAGAAAAGGGAAGTTGGGACTGATTGGACGAGGAGACTGGGAGCCAGGAAGGGAAACAAGGGGGGAAGACTGGGAGCCTGTTGGGGGCAAAGAGCTGATATTGGGGACTGGAGGAAACTGGGAATGGCTGGATAAGGAGACTGGGACTGAAAACCAACAGGGGTGAACAGAGCTATGGGAAGACAAGACATATCTGACAGGGATCCAGGGTGCAAGGGGAGAACTGTGACTGGCTGGACAAACAGACTGAGACAAGTAGCTAGGGAAGGTGTGTGGAGAGACTGAGATTGGATGAGGAGCCCAGTGGGAGATACTGGGACTGGCTGGACAAAGAGACTGGGACTGGGGTGAGAAGCTGCAGGTGGATGGGGAGCTGAGCCACAGAGGCCCAGATCCTCAAAGGTATTTTGGTATTTTATTTCAATGGAAGTTTGGATCCTAAATACCTCTGAGGATCTGGGCCAGAGAGATTAAAGTCAAATGTGACCACCAATTTGGGGTGCCCAATCTGAGACTCTTAAGACCTGCTTCTTCACAGTACTTAACTTTCTCTAGCGCTTGATATGTTCAAAGCACAACTCCCACTGACTTCAGTTCCAGCTGTGAGTGTTCAGCACTTCTGCAAAACAGATCCCAGAGTCTCAAGTTGGGTACCCAGAAAATAAGGAACACACAATTAGTGACCACCTTTGAAAAGTTTGGTTTCATGACTTGCCCAGCATTCCATGAGAACTCTGTGGCAGAAACAGGGATAGAATCCAATTCTGCAGGGCAGCGTTCATCTGTCTTAAGCCTGAGGACCCCCCCCCACCACCACTACCATCACCACTACCACAACCCCTCTAACATGTTATGTCTGTGAAGTATTGTCTGCTTTTGTAGTGTCTGGCTTTGTGGCTTTGATGAGTTGTAAAACAGCATAATTGCCTAATTCTATTGGATATCCTGTGAAATGTGTGGGATTTGGAAACATATACAAGCTGTAAATCATTTAACTTTTTGTACTTTTCATTGTCTATTTCTCAATGAAGACTATTACAAAATTAATCACACACACACACAAAAGCATATATATATATATAAATATATATATATATACACTCCATATGTTTCTATATTAAAAATATGATCTAGATTATTCTGATTTTCAGAGTATATGTGCATGTGTATGCATGTATACACCCACACCCTCTGTATCCATTTTTATAAAAAAATACAATCGATATTAGTTTGATTTTCAGAAGTGCTGAGGACTCAAAACTCCATTTGAAGTCAATGAAAGCCAAAGATGCACACTGTCTCTAAAATTCAGATTCATACTGTATGTGTGTGAAGATGCATTTTATAATGTATTTATTAGCATGTGTTTTAGATGTTTTCATAAAATCTGAAAATTATTTTTGCTTTCCCGTCTAGTCAAGACTTTGAGAAATTTCTAGGATGCAGTTAAAAGTCACTTAACTGAAAGCCTATGGAGACATACTGCTTGATATCCTTTTACTATTTTCTGTGCTTTTCTTGTGCTTTACATATTGCACTCTGTGGTCACTTGTGCTCAAAGAAACACGCACCTTCAACTTGATATTTCTGTCATCCCTGTTCTGGGAAGAATCCTGTTGCTGGTTAATAACATCAATCACTTAGGCCATAAATCTTTGCAGTGGATATGGTCATTTAAATCTCCACCTGCACAAACAACAATCAGGCACAGAAAATAAGAAAGCTCATAAATCTCCATGCTGGTGATTAGTAATTTTTGGATCTGTAACAAGGATGTTATAAAGAAAGAAATCCTAATTCATTCATTAGAGCTGATATGCTGACAATTTGTTTAGTTTATAGCACAGGGAAAACGCAAACAGGGCACAGTTAACATAACATGACATTAGAGGTTAGTGAATTCCCAACAGATCCCAGAGCTTGAAGATATGATATCTTAATATTCTTATCCTATTCTGAGTAGGGGGTGTTATCTTGCAGCCAAATGGCAAAGACTGGTTTAAAGTTTAGATCTGCACTTCTTTTTCTGGCTTATATAACTAAGGGAAAACCTAAATGGATAAAGAGGTAAGAGATACTTTCATTGCTTATTAAAATCTATATTTAATAATATTTGTTCCTCTGTAAAAACTCTCATCTGAAGATCTCAGACCACTATACCATCATTTACTAATTTAGCATCACAGTATCCCCTAAATATTATGTTGGTTTGAGGATTATTTTAGAAGTGTGGACAAAGGGCCTGATGCAGTGCTCACGGAAGCCAATGGGAGTCTTTCTCCTGTTTTCAAGGAGCTTTCGATCAGGCCTGGAGCAATTAAGTTACACATTGTGATTAAGTCTCCTAAGTAATTGTTTTCCCTGGGGACCAGATAGTACTGTTCTGCATACACACAGAGGGCACCACCCATATGTGGATCTGCTTTTCTGTAGTCCTGTTCTCTCCTCCCACACATATGCACAACCCAATCTCCAGAGAGACTTATTTTTGGTCCAAGATCTATGTGTGGGGAGGGGACGAGATAGGGAAGGAAATACAACAGGCTGCATTTACTTTTCTATGGAGCTCCCTCTACACTTGCCCCCTCCAGGGACAGAGGCATGTAACCATTGACTTCAGTGGAAGTGGAGTTAGGCCAGAGATGAGTGCTTTTAAAAATCTACTATATATAGTTCAGAAAAAGCTTTACATGGGTTTTAATAACATTTACACATGTACACATTATGGGTGGGATTATGAAAACACTCAGTATCGATCTAACTCTGCACTCATTAAAATCAGTGGTAAAATTCCTATCGACTTCAATAGCAGCAGAAATAGGCCAAAGTTGAGTTCTTTTGAAATTCTTACTCTATGGGCCACCTCATGCTGTATTTACTCAGACAAACCTCCCAGCAGGTCTTTGATAATGGATCATGCAGTAAACTGAATATAGACAACTAGAGCTATTTCTACAATAGAAATGAACAAAATAAATATTAACATAAGTACCAAAATCTTTGAAAGAAATATATTTATTTAAATTGATGTTATATTTAAAGGCAACTTTTTATGCAAACTTTGCAACATTTGGTAAATATTTTTCCTGATTTCATTTCAATTTGAAGGTATATATTTTTATTCTATTTCTTATTAAAAGAAAATATTCTAACATTAAATTATAATATCACTTTGCACTTATACAGGGCCTTCAATTGGAAGAATTTCTAAGTGCTTTGCAGATATTGATGAAATAAGTTGAACAGCATACCTGAGAATTAGGGAAGAATTAATTATTAATTACATTATTATTGTTGTTGTTGTTTTATTATTGTTATTATTCCCATTTTACAGATGGGTAAACTCAAACACAGAGAGATTAAGGTGCTTAGCCATGGTCACACAGGAAGCCTATAACAGAATTCAGATCTCCTGGCTTCAATTTCTGTGCTTTCACTAAGGGAACCAGCTTCGTGTTTCAGAGTATATCCTAATAGGATGCATTCTCAAACAATCATCCACAAATTTCTTTCAGATGAGTTTACAGGACACAATTCAGAAGCTCTGTGTTAAAAATCCATCTCCAAGTCAGCTACCTGGTAGATCCTCTGGGCACCCTGATCAGGAGGCATTTTAACTTTCATCAGGAGTCAGGGACAAGGATGACACCAGACGCCTGGATCATCTAGCAGGCAGGAGGGAGAGCCATGCAGAGTTCTAAGGGGCAGAGGAGGGGGGAGCTGCCTTGCTCCAGTTGGGAAGATTTGAATTACAATGTTGAGATCACTGGAACTCTTCTTTGGTGCCTGTTTTCCCCTCCTGTTCTTGAGCAGAGGTTTGTGAATTTGGTGAGCAGCAACAGGCAGTGGCCGGACAGGGCCCCTCCCCTGGGCTGCAGCCGGATCCGCCTCTCTATTCCCCAGATAAATTACTAGTGTCCTCACCAAATTCCTCAGCTTTCTCTCTCACTCAAACACGGGCAAGAAGCGGGGGTGGGGCGGGGATCCTCTCTTGCCTGCAAACCTATCACACCCCAGGGCGAGGGGAAACGTCTTCTCAACCTGAGGTATTCACCCAACGCCTGCCCCTGAGGAAGCTTTGATCTTTGTGCATCTCTCAGACCATGTCCACTGGCTCGCTCAGCGATGTGGAAGACCTTCAGGAGGTGGAAATGCTGGAATGCGATGGCCTGAAAATGGATTCTAACAAAGAGTTTGGGACGTCGAACGAGAGCAACGAAGAGGGCTCCAATTGCGAGAACGCGTCCCCCCAAAAGGGGAGAGGCGCCCCAGGCAAGAGGAAAAAGGCTCCCACCAAAAAGAGCCCTTTAAATGGAGTGAGCCAAGAGGGGAAGCAAGTCCAGAGAAACGCTGCCAACGCCAGGGAGAGAGCGAGGATGAGGGTACTCAGCAAAGCTTTCTCGAGGCTTAAGACCACTTTGCCCTGGGTACCTCCAGACACCAAGCTTTCCAAACTGGACACCTTGAGACTGGCATCCAGCTACATTGCTCACCTGAGACAGATCCTGGCCAATGACAAGTACGAAAATGGTTACATTCACCCAGTCAATCTGGTAAGTTCCCGCCTGGTCGCGTTTAATAGTTCATCAATACACTTGATCACTGAGGTGAAGGGAGGGGGAAATCAGCATGTGTTGTACCCTTCAGAGGGGACTGCTGGCAGATCCACTGAGAGTATATTTGGGGCGTTGAGTTATTGCGTTTATTAGAATAAATCAGACGCCTTCCAAGTCACCTCCCTCCCCAAACGCGGTTAGTTGATTTATAAAAAGATCTTAACATTATAATGGCACTAGCTTTTCCTGTGTTAATCTGCTCAAAAGGGGGTGACAGGTCAAAAGCGCTGCAACTGTGCAAATCGATTCAGTAACATCTTTTACACACACTGTTGGGAGAGGGATGACGTCCCTAAAAAAACTGTGTAACAAGTTCATTGTATTTATCCAACCAGGATTTCTCGTTCAATTAAGTACTTTAGCATTGTTCAGTATATAGGAACAGGTCCGATTTCTTAAGATTCAGCCTTCATTTCTTCTTTATTTTCTGGTGTTTATTGATGTAAAATAGCACACACACACATAAAAAAATTGCTTTTTTTAAACATCACCATAGATCTGTTCTTTCATTACCTCGGATTTACTGTTCTCGGGATGTTTCTTTTATAAATGAGAACTTTAGAGTAGAAAAAAAATCCTCTAAGTCCTAGGTGAGAGTTTTCTAATTTAACCACGGATTTAAAAGATGTATTAGGTAATTGTAGCTATTACTGTAGCGTTGGAAGTACAGTAAAGATAAATGAAACACAAGTTCTCTCTCGTGTGTGTGTGTGTGTGTTTGTGTAATTCATTCTCGCTGTACTGCCAACCGTATCCATAATAGTAATAATTCAAGCCATTACAAGGACTGAATACATTTTCTAAAATCGGTGGTTAAAATAGATCATTCTTACTCTTCATTTAGTGTTTAAATTTTAATACACGTTTGGACATTGCACGATAAATGAATTTCATCAAACATTGTGGCCGTTCAGTGGGGTGATCTTTTTAAGCTGTTTTTCAAACGTTTTGGGCTCAGCAGAAAAATAACCGGCAGTTTGCTATCCACAAGGTGATTTGATAAGGGTTTGCGCTATTTCTTTTTTAAATAGTTGCATCTTAACTTGTGGGTAGACCCAGCAATCTAACAAGTGGGCAGACTGCAGTCTGAGGGAAACCCCTTTGTACTCCTTGCAAAATCTTTTCGGGTGTGCAGCTTTTTGTTACTAAGGCTATTAAAGGAGGCTGTTCTTAGTGCAGCGGTAAAACGAGGGGGAAATAATATAATTTAAATTATGGGTCTAATCCTGCACTCTTTACTCAGCTAAACCTCCCCTTAACCTCAGTGAGACTTTTTCCTGAGTAAGAACAACAGGAGTTGGCTTTCTAATAGTAGAATTACAGTAATCGGTACAGCATAGAAGGCTGAGACTTTTGGTAAGATGGGTTTCATTTCAAAGCAGAGGAGCAGCACATGAGAGCGGTGCCTTGACATTATCCAGTTTAGGAAGAACGGTTTTGATCTGTCTTTACTCCTATATCCTAGTATTAATTATGTGCTCAGGAAAACGCTGTCGGTTATCTAAAAAGCGAGAGAGAGAGCGGTTTCTGGGATGGATAGAACACGATTCATCACTGGGAGGACTATATATAATCACAAGGGAGAGAGACGAATGACTTTGGGAGGCTAAGCGTTTTTATGTGCGTTGCCACTGCGTACAATCCGGCGGAGTCATCGCTAGAAATGATTAACCCGGCACTTGGTTGCCTAGCTCAACCACTTTTTATTGCTGATAAAAATTTGGCGAGGCTGTTCTGACCGTGTGTTCTGGTGTAGCACAGTCTCACTAGACACTTGTAATATCATAGTGATAACCCCATTTTTTTTATCCCCTTTCCCATCCCATGTCATTTCCTGCTACAGACTTGGCCTTTTATGGTGGCTGGCAAACCCGAGAGTGACCTGAAAGAAGTGGTGAACACAAATCGCCTGTGTGGACCTACAGCATCCTGACCAACCTCAAGCCTAGGAGACCATCTTCAGTGTGTAAGGCGGGGGAAATGGAGAGGGAAGCTGGAGACTCTTCCCCCCACCCCCAAGGAACACTTTATAGAGACGAGGGGATTCATCCTCAGTAAAGAGGAGACCAAATGTACATTAGCAAAGACTCCACCCCAAAGATCCCATATATTTAACTTTATTAACGCGTGTACAGTTGATTGTCCTGCAAAGCAGCCTTGCTGGTTCAAGTGCTAATAGCGAGGAAGATCAAACAGAACGTACCAATGTGTATCTTTTGTATGATACATTGTGACATATGTAGATTCATAGAATAATTGACTTTGATAGTCACATCTATAAAGTAATTCACGTTAAAGATATATAGATATATTTTCTTCAAACAGGTTGTGCTATATTTCTGTGAATAAATCTTCCTTTCTATTGAAAATAAATACAGAGCGGTCTAATTTTCATTTCAGCGTTTTGTGAAATGACACCACATTCTCGGTTCTTCTGAAAACAACCACATTTATGTGGGATGATAGATCCGGGAACAAAACTCTTTGACCCCAGATTATAAGGTGTTTATTTTCCCAATTAAGAAGATTTAGACTATATCCTTTGGGGGGTGGGGAGGATGGCGGTGTTTGGAGCCTGATTGCCAGTTCGCACTTCTTTTTTATATTTTGTGGAGAAAAAGAATTACCCCTGAAGTGCAATAATAACCTGGCAGATTGGGGATACAGGCATTTCTAAAGCAGCCGCCTGCAATTTGAAACTGACCAGCAACAAAGTTCGCAGCCTGCTGCTCCGCATGTGATGCTAGAGTTTTCATAGCAGTTTGATTGCGAAGTACACCTTAATATCGATTGTCGAGACTAGCTCCTTACTTTAGTTTTAAAAAGACTAACTTTTAGTAACTACGGGGGAGGAAAATCCGAGGCCTGATCCATTCTGGAGGCCGTTTTCCTCCCCGACAATTTAAGTTTTGGGGGAAGAGGTGTTAATGAGTTACTTATTGACGAAGTGCAGCTAGAAGAAGGATTTCCCCTGGGCCCGGGTTCTTGGTGCCTAGAATTTTTAATTTAAACATCTTCCCCTCTATTGATCAGATAGTCTGTGGGAGATTAAAGTTGAGATAAACAGACCGCGCCGGGCTCTTTCCCCTGAGCCAGCGAAGTCCACAGGCAGCTGATGCGCCAGATCCCACCGAGCTGTTTAATGTTTCAGGGTTATGACCGCACTGTTTACAAGATGTCTTCGGTTATTTATACTGTTATTATTAGCAGAGGGGCTTTAAATTTCCGCTTCACTTGCTCTTTCAATATTTTTTTCAGTTCAATTTGATACCTGGGTATTTTCTTTTTCTTTACGAAAATAGACAACATTGGCTTTCTGGTCGCTGCCTTACACCGTCTCTATCTCCGCCAGGAAGAGTTTACCAGGAAACGAGAAATGCACAAGAACAAAAATCTAAACAAAACAAAACAACAACCGCTGAAATACAAGTTAAAAGTGTCATGGGGGAAGCTTAAGGGTTTGCTTTGGGGGAGTCAGGGGAAGATCTGAGTCGGAGA